TAATTACCCGACAAGGTGAAAGCTTTTGTCACAAAAATGTATTTGCAAGCTTCGCTCTCGAGCTTATCCTTGTTTCACATTCGTTTCGTTCTCGTTCAGCTCGACTAAAAGGCTATTAAACATTTTAATGTGGAACATCGATATCTTCGAAGAGTAGAGTTTGCGAACGTAGTCAAAATGTAGTGCGGTATTTGGCCATTTAAGGCCGAATCAAGCAATTACGAATAAATACAACTTTACATATAGACATAATAGACACATCCCTTATTCCATCTTCGGAAGAAGAGACGATCAATTCGATTTAGAAATTAAGAATAATTTCGATACTTTTGAATATTTTGAACGACTAAGCAACTCAAGCGCGTAGATAAGAGAATAGAGAAGTCTTGTTCGGACTGTTCGGAGTTCCTCATTTGTTTCAAGCCGCCTGCGGTTCTTTGCCACAGTTTTGTGGCGTAGGAAGCATCATTTATACAAGTTAAATAATTGTATGTACTTTAGAACAGTAAAATCTATTAAAACACACAGGTTATCCATAATAACCTTCAAAGGTTTGAAGCAGTGATTGATTAATTTGGGTAATGTAACATGAATGGATCTATAAAAGAAATAAATAAAGATTCATTGAATGAGATTTCAATGCCGAGAATGGGCGAACTGCGTGGCCCGACACTGGAGTATAACACTGGAGAAGCTTTTTTAAAAGTCATTTCAACAGGATGTGAAGCACTCATAGCATGTGCGAGGCAATTAAATATAATGGATAAGGAACATGGGAATGGAGATTATGGTACAAGACTTGCACACGCAGCCGAAGCTGTGCAAGATGCCATTCAGGTTTAATACTAAGAGTCTCAAATACAGATCGATAAACGATCAAATCCTAAATGAAACGTTTTACAGAAAGATGAGGTACATGGGAGAAATTTGTATGTAACATTCAAACAGATCAGTTGTATCATCCGAGGAACAGTAGATGATTCGGCAGGAGAAATATACTCCGATTTTTTTTACAATATTGCCGAGGTAAAATGTAATTTTTCTGTGAACGTAAAACTGAGTTTTAAACGTATGGTTTTCAGGGTTTTTCAAAACATGAAAGTGAAACTAGAGTAACAGCACTCACATGGCTAAATGTGCTGACGTATGCTAATAAAGCATTGAAAGCTAAAGTATTCCCTGAACAAGAACAAGCACTATTAACCAGTTTGGGAACAGTGCAAAAGGATTTGGAAAATGCGTTAGATCAAGATTTTGATCCTATTGAAGTATACGAGGCAGCTGTAAATGCTGCTGAAAGCTTCACTTCAAGAGTTCTAAATGCACGTTCCACAGCAGGAAATTCTAAAGTATGTTAGTGTCAAACTTTAATTATTGAATTGATTTACTAAGAACTTCTAGGGGCCTAAATATCCTGATCCTCGGGCGCATGCAGTCGGTATATGGATGAGAGGTTCTTTCGAAGGCACCAAATTAAAATTAAGTCATATAATAAATAAATCATGAATTCTACTATAATCCATATGACACGATAATTATTACGTTATATTAGTGTAAACGATGTATTTCTTAATAAAATGGATTAGCATCGAAGGTGTTAATCGTAAAAGAAACTGACCGACATTTTAATGACACCCTGCAACGAGCAACTCGTTATGCTGCACAAATATATATTTTTGTTTTTGCTTCACGAGGTCGTCGAGACTGTGTGAGAGATCGTATACGAACGAACGACACGAATGTGTGCGGTGCGTCATGTACGTATATAAGACTATCACAATGTCACGTGTTCTTGGCTGGTCTTATCACGTGAAAAAGCTGAAAGAAGTTCGTTACATCGTTTTCTAAACACGAACCGAAATTCGACAATTAATACGTTTTCTACTACCAGTTTTTTTACGCCTACCGCTAATTCCTATTTGACGTTAAACCGAAAGGCTATGTTCGAGATTCAGATAGCCCTTCCAGTTTTTATAATTTTTATAGTTTTAAAAATGTTTAAACATTTCACTTAAACGTTCACGTGTGCATGTATAAAAATATGACGGTATGAGATGATAAGAGTGATAAGGATATGCGAATTGTACGGACAATAGATTTTTGACAACCGTACAACAATAAAGAATTAATACATTAACTATGAATGCTGTGATCGCTCTATGTATCTTCTGTGAATCCCACGGGCCCAGAGTGATATTCACGACACAAACGTATCGTAATTATGACAATCAGAGTACAGAGAAATTAAAGTTCTACGGGCCGAAGGAGATACTGAAACGAAGTCAGAATGTTACCGAGGATGGACAGCATGAGTGCGAAGGATGTCAGAGTATTGGTAATGTGAAATATTTAAGTAATGAACATGAAACTAGGACGTCATTTCTATCTGCCCAACAATCATTAACGCAAGACATTTGGAGCTTGCTAAAGCATGCATGCATTAGGTATAGCAACCATGAGGAATAGTTTTGTCTCTTTAACGAGAATCGTATGTACTCGATTGAAATTTCATGCTTTTAATTAAAAATTCTTCAAGGAGCCTAAGCTGCGAAGTACACTCTGGCAAAGAAGGTGTTTGCTACTTTGGGGATGAAAACCGGGGGCATGTCTTAAGTCATACGTTTACACTGAAAGATGCCCAGGTGAATTATGCAACGAAAAAGCATGTTTGGTAGCTATTACTATAAATTATTCAAATCGTCCGATTAATTATGTAATTTTATATACTTGGAACGAAATCGATACATGAATTTCATCGATATGAACAAAATCTCTGTGTTTTCATTTTGTAGGCAAGAGGTTTTCGTAAATGGTGCAGTTTTATTGTTTTCATGAGGGATAAACAGTTTCTATTAAATATGTGGCCCTTTTTAGTTGACAATTTAAAAGAAGTAATACGGGAATTACAAGATTTCGCCGAAAAGAAGTATAATGCGGAAGAAGCCGAATGCCCTCAGCGAGTTGCTCGTTTATCAACAGCTAATAGTGGACCAGGAACTTATAATAATTCGAAACAGTCGAGAACTTTCAGTAACATAACTAATGAGAAACATGTCTTTATAAGGTTTGTCTTTAGCGAGAGTACTTTGACGATCGATCAAATCTTTACCTGTGGATTATTAATCAATTATAATTAAACCAGAGTCCACATGTGGCTGGTATGGATCCTTAGCGCGGGAGCAAGACACTTTATAGAAATATTCCCGATGAGCTTGTTGGACGACGAACTGAATTACAATTTGGAACATCAGATCGGTCAGCGTTATAAAATACCGTACGAGAAATGTATATTACTTCGATCCATAACGATGTCGTTTCTATTCTAGAGACCGAAGACGGCTTTACTTTAGTGAATGCCAAATTGCCTGTTAATCTAACGTTGAATTCAAACGAGCCGGAAACAACATCGGAGTTCTCCGAAGTCTCGGGGAAATCCACGATAGTGATACTTAAGGATTTGAGAGCCGTGTTAGGGAAGGATCAATTTAGGCAGTTACTGTATTCTAGTTTAACAGGTGTACAAATTTTGGTGAGAGGTCCAAACGTCGAACGATTAGAATCTTTGTACGGCCTCAGCTCTCTTATTCCACGCGCGTGTAGAAGAGTCAAGATCCAAGCAACGGAATACATGGATCCTAACAAGTGTAACTTTATCGGTACTTGAACATTTCTGAAAGAAATTGTCGAACGCGAACGAACGTTCTCTGAATTATATTATTCCTTCAGGTGTCGATACTTCCATAGCTGTACCTCTGCCTTGCGCGAATGTCTGCAGATTAGACATCGTAGCTGACGAGCATAAAGTTACAAATTCAAGCTCGCACGTTGTCAGATGGACAGGAGCGCTGCCTTTGAAGTTACCGACTTTATTAACGAAGATCGAAAAGTCGCTCGAAAACGAAAAGCTTGGGATTTCTACTATAAAAGCCCATTTGGCCGCGCTGCAAGAGGAATGGTCCAAGTACATATTGCAAACAAGATGAATCAAATATTTCATTGGTAATCATGGACTAATATTTCTTATCGTGATTCTAGTATTGCGAAAGTGGTTCACGCTATGAGAGGACGTGGTCACAGCGGTGATCTTTCCGAGCTTATGCTCAATTTAGGTGCTGGACCTCATGATAAAAAATTATTAGACGCCTGGTCTATGGGTCTACCCCCGAACCCAGCATAATAATTCTCTTAATTATAGAATATTATTTGGTAATATTTAATTTAATACAAATGTATCCTCTTGATTCTATTTCTAATCTGTTCATGCAATATTTATATATCCAAGGTTGTGCGTCATTTTTTATTTAATATATATATATATATATATATATATACGAGTATTCTAAGTGTAAAATAAATTATTTTACATGGATCATGATTAAATTTTTATAATATTATACACTGTTTATGTAGATATTTAAGATGAGATTGATATGGAAATAAAATTTGTTAGAAATTGTTTAGAAACCTGCCCTCCTTCTTTTGTTTCAATATTTATAATCGCAAGAACGATGGACACGGTTATTCAATGTTTCCAACTTTTGATACCGTATTATTACTCATTATTGCTTCCTAGAATGGAAGTCGATCCACCGCCGGTGTATCACCGCGAGCCACTCGAATTTAAAAGTTTTAACAAGTTCGAAACTTGTACGAAAAGTTTCCAGCAACAATACTGTAGTATTTATACCGCAAGATTAAAAGTACTGAGAAATTCTCTCGTGCAGAAAGCGAAGATTAAATGGGGTATGATCTCTTCGCAGAGGTTACATCTCCCCGCCCTAAATTATAGTTTTGCTCGATGATTTTTTTTAGCGAACATCGAAGTAATCACGTTGTCAGAACTTTCCGAGAGGGCCGAAGCTAATACTTGCACTATAATAGGAACACTGTACAAACATCAGGAATTAAAACCTTCTATACTACGCGAGCTCAGCGAGGAACTCCAACTGGTAACTCAACCGGCTAGAGCGAATTATGCATCGTTCAAAGATCTATTGTATTTGGAAGATGAAAGTTTACGTGTTAAATTGGTCGGGAATCTCATGGACATTCAGGATATTGTGACTGGCTGTGTTTGTGCTGTCCTCGGTCATGAATTAGAAGACGGTTCATTCTCGGTAGATGTTTGTTATCACAAAGAAATGTGTTTATTGAGTTAGAATTCGGATTATTTACAGGTGACAGACTGGTGCTTTCCAGGATGCTGCCCAAAGTTATCCACGTTTAATCATTCAGAAAGAAAGGGAAAAGTTTTGATAATCTCAGGTTTAGATTTAGCGAACAATGCACAACTGTTAAGTTTAAATCTTTTATCTGAATGGATAACTGGAATGGTTGGTTCCAAAGAGGTTCAAGATGAGATTGCATCTACTCTGTGTGTTATTATAGCAGGTACTTAAAGAGGACTAACAAAATAGGGTTTGGAATAAGCAGTGACGATGTTTACACAGGAAACAGTGTGAGAGGATCCGTAGAGACTTACGATCATGCAACGTATTTCGAAAGGAAGGCTCACGATGAAGCGATATTCAAAAAGACTGCGCTGGTAACACGCAAGTTAGATGATTTCCTTCTTTCTATCGTGCAATACTGTCCCGTAATATTGATGCCTGGGGAGTTCGATCCGAGTTGTCACACGTTGCCTCAACAAGCTTTTCATCCATGCATTTTACCTCAGTGTTCTAGGTAATGTATTACATCGATGTTTGATGTATTAATTCACGAAAGATCGTTCAAACTTCTTGATACTCGTGTGATACAGATTCAAAGATTTTCACGGAGTCACGAATCCATGGGTCGGTATTATCAATTCTCGTATCGTAGCCGGGTCCAGCGGTCAACCCATCAAAGATATCATGAAAGTCGCTGGCCTCGCCGATTTCTCACCTCTAACATGGTTGGAACGTACACTGCTTTGGCGGCATTACGCGCCGACTGCACCAGATACCTTACCCGCTTACCCATTCCCGGAGATCGACCCATTCATCATAACGGAATGCCCGGACATATACTTTGCTGCTAACATGGATAAATACGACACCGGATTACTCACAGGTACGTGGGACTGAGTGATTTTTAATTCGATGTAGTACAGCGGAATGAATGTTCACAGCGGACGATGGTCAGGTGGTGAGATTGATTTGCGTTCCAAAGTTCTCTGAGACTCAAACTGGTGTACTAGTCGATTTGCACGATTTAAAGACAGTACCTCTTTCTTTCACCGTTGCCTAGTTATTCATACGTTTTAGAATGTTGACATGAAACAATAATGTAAAAGAGAATATTTGTTGGTCGTTCATACAATTTGTACATACTAGTAAATATATTATTTATTCTTACAATCGACGTGTCTTTAATTGCGGAGAGTGATAGATCGTGTGGATGCGTTCATAAGTAAAATATATTCTTCATCTTTATTTATACAGAAATATATGGAAAGACATATAATTTAACATATTATAATATTCATATATTCTATAAATCGTTCATATTTGTTCAATGTCTGTACATGGTATAAGCATTTTTTAACTTAGTGTAACCATGTCATATTTGAAACAATTCTCTCCAACAAAATATTTCATTTCATTTAACATGTCTTATAACATAATACTGTTTCGTTTCATGAAAATATTCTTTGGCACACTGTAATACTGTTCGAACCTTAGGCAAATTAAATGGAAGTAACGACTCGTTCGTATACCTTTGTACGTTCGGTGATAGGATGTTGAAAAACTAATCGAAAGTAACTCTAAAGTAGCAGTCTTAATATCGAAACAACTTTGAATGTTAATTAACATCGTTCATCATTTCTGAGGCCTGTAGTGTCTTTAGAATTGCATTTTCGTGAGCGAGTGTCCCGGGATACTTAAATGTCCTAACTACAAGAGTTTGAAGGAATTGTATTCAGATTTAAACGAATATTCATGTCGGATGATTCTTGGGACACTTCCGATTGCTGATCGGATACTTTATCTTCGTTTCTCATAGCGCATATCACGTCCGTGAGGGCTACTATATAATTCTTAGCCAATGTCAATGTTTCAATTTTCGATAATCTTCTTTCCTTCGATACATGAGGAATCACTTCGCGTAAAGACTGATAAAGCGAAATATGTTCATTTGAATCTGTCCAAAGGTGATCTTTACGAAAATGATGATATCTTTACCTGAAACGCGTCATTCAGACTGTGCATCCTCATTCTCTCTCTTTCGTTGCTCTCCAGTCTCCTTAAAGTCTTTTCCCTAGAAGTCACACCTCGAGAGGATTTCGATAGCTTAAATCCAGATTTCTTGTTAGTTTTTCTTATCGTTTTATTAGCCTCTGATTGTTGCTTAGGCCAGTTTCCTTCCCGGCTGTCCTTGTTCATTACTTTGGATGTCATTAAAAAATATCCTTTTTAAAATTAATAGTATCATCGTTAATATTAAATTAGGAAATGCAGTTCTTTATCTTAACTAATTATCCTTTTAACAATTCTTATTTTACGATATGAACAGTTCAAGGCCATTATAAAGAGGTGTGTATCTTTCGATTTGACTTGAATCAAATATTTTGCAATATCTCAAGAGATACGATTAGAAAATATTTATTTACTCACAGTTCACCGAGGTGTATCGTCTCTCGCTATTAACGTGCCGCAAGGGTAGCGGGTATAATTTTAATATGTTTGAACCACGGTATTTCTCGTTGCTGTACCGTTCGATGTATTCCGAAATAAAAACGAGCCGACGATCAAATTATAGTCTGCGATGCATTTTCAAATTTTTGAATTAACTGCACGCCACCGCGCGTACTTGTTGAGCCACGTTGGAACGACGACTGACGTAGCGATGCCGGGGTGCGGCCGAAACAGCCTTCCACCCCCGGGACCATACGATCTACCCTGTGACCTTTTCGTAATAACTTCTCCCATACTTATAACGCGACTGGTTTCTCTTCGAATTCTTCACGATCCATCAGGATTTAAGACATTGTATCATTTATTAAACAATTAATTGTACTTTCAAGTTCCTCCCCTAGTACCGAACACATTGAAATCGAATATTCGAATAGAAGTCGTAATTCTGAAAATTTGATGAGACCTCGAGTAACGATATTTACTACTTATATGTGTCTTTTCATCTGAAAGAATTTGATCGGAAAAAAATTCGTGCACCACGTGTAACGATCATATTCTATTATGCAATGTACGTAAACGGTTTCGTGTGAGTGCACGGCTACAGGTGGGCGTATGACGTAATTCGCCCACGCGGCTGTTTCCCTCTATCTATAATCGTACCATCCCCCAATGGACATAATATCAAATATACTTAAACGCGTCACAAATGTCTATTACAGAGTTATTAAATCCGAAGTTTAATCGTTTACAAAAGACAATTAATTATTCCATTTTAGATTACAGACTATTATTTATTTTTAATTGTGAAAATGTTTAAAGAGAATGCCTCGGGTTCTTTTAAATGAAGGACGATATACTTCGAATCTCGAATATAAATTAATCTTTATTATTTATGTTTTATCCTTACATTTGCCACAGCAAGTGTCGGTCTGCTTTTCTAACTCGGATTGTTTGTGATTAGGAGTCCATGGTCCGAGACTGGCCGAGGCATAGAAATCCATGGGATATGGCTTATCGTTATTATGGCTTATCATTTTTAATGCGACAGCTCCTTCGTACGGTGTGAGGAACGGTTTCTCAAAAGCTGTACCCCAATCTATGCTCAATCGCGGACATGCAATCTACGACACAGAAACGTATTTATACCAGTGGTAGAACTTGGAAGACAGAGTTTTATAAACATGAGACAACCTGTATAAAAGCACCGACGCCCTCGAACAATTTGATTTTATCTGGGAATATCTCCGAGAGGAGTATGATAACATTCTCCTTCCCCAGTAAGTTAATCTTGTTCTCTAAGTTTTTTAAAACATTCAGATTTCCTTGCCTCCCTAACGTGCCGAGTATCAACCCGAATCTCCCCGTTTGTTTCGCGGTCTCGATTACTGTTAACCGAGTCTTCAGCATTTGTTCGTGATCGTAAAACTCCTCGGTCAACTTCTTTTCGTAAGGATCGTAACGAAATGCACGTAATTTCGGATTAGCGATCATCACAGCCTCTAAGTGAAATCTGCCGTCCCCCACGTAAACGACAGCATCAGCGCATCGAATTTGCGGTGCTGTGCAACCTAAGATCTTTTTGCGACAATCAATTTTTGGGTTTAAATTAAGGGATGCTCTCATTAAAACGGTGGAGTTCAATAAGATATGTAAGTATCGGTACCTCGCCAGGACTAAGTGGCTTACTCTGGGGAGTAGACACCTCGTAACCGTTTTCTCTCATTTTCATTGCAATAGCTTGCAGCGTGCCAGCGAACTGTATGGTGCTTACAAGTCCGATTTTTGTTGTAACCGGTAACGTGACTTGTAAGCATTCGATACAGTGCGAAGTGTCGATCTTTATGTTGACAAACACGTAAAGTACTTTGATACCAACTGTTTGATCGATTGGTATTAAGCAGGAATGCCCATAGTGGATTAAAAAATCTGCGTCCAGTGCTTTCGCAGAATAATCGTCTATGCAACACGCTCCTGCCAATCGTATAAACAGTGTTAGGCTTCTAATCATATGAAAGAGTTTTATATATAAATTTACTACCGTAAGTAACGTCTCCCATTATTACAGTCTCTGCACCAGTGAAATCTTCTATGATATCTGCTATCGTCGTAGCATACATTAAAAGACCTTCTGGCATTTGCAGAGCTACTCTTTTAGCTTTTGCTTCTCTGATTCTCCATATGGATTTGTGCATTTCGAAATTGTAATTGGAAGGTAACGCAGCAATAGCTGCGTTTAACAGCGGATCGTTCAATATCTCTTCGGGTATCTTATTTATCTTAACCGGGGCTTTAAATACCTTGCGAACCGGTTTTGCCTTAACTATGACCACAGAGCCACATTCCTCACTCATGATTGAAATTTATTTCGATAGTATTATTACTGAAATTTCTGTTTTACGTTTGTACTAAATATTTGGAACGTATTTCTTCATTCAGTAAATTTATCGTTCATGTACACCACGTGATAATTACTGTTCACTATCCTATCACAGTCCTCGCGAAATTCACTTAAAATTCGTCTAAGTTGTTGTGATTTTGTGGTCGGACTCTTATAAAAATTCTAAAAATAATTAAAGGTTATAAGACAGACTATAATCGAGTCACAACAAACGATAGCAAGTCTGACACGGCGCAACCGACTGAACTAGGAAAGTGGGAGATGCACCGCGAGGAATTTAAAATTACGTCAATCTCGGCTAGACAATCCTTTCCAATTTAATTCATTGAATTGTAGAACCCTTTTACGTAATTTGCACAACAATTCGTTTCAGTTTGGAGGGCAAGAAATTCCCGTTAACTTTATTTATTTGTCACAAAAGATATGAGCTGCTTATTTTGTGCCCAGTATAATTGTGCACTTGTTGTAGAATTTAATAATTGAAGTACTTTTAATATACTTAATGATCGTGTCACGGTTTAAAAAAAAAATCGTTTCCAAGAAAGGTGAAATAAAAATGAACCATAGGTCCCACCGAGATTTGAACTCGGATCGCTGGATTCAAAGTCCAGAGTGCTTACCATTACACCATGGGACCGTACGTGCCTAATGTTTTTATTATTATTGTTGTTTTTTAGCATATTTAATTATTCCAACATTATACACGGATAACTGCACAAACTTTTTTTCTTATTCTAATAGACGTAAAAGAATGAAGAGAAAGCAGTACGGTCATTTAAACTTTATTTCTACAACTGCGAAATGCAGTGGCGTGCAGCTCTCTCCTTATGAAGGAAAGAATTCTTCTCCCTAGAGGATCATTATATGTGTATTCTTTTATTCTGGTTCTTATTAAATCTCACTTATCGGTTATTAAAAACTTATTATTCGGTATAGAAAACGTTTGTGAAACAACTTTCGCCTGTGAGATACGTTCCGCCGTATCTAATCACTGTCCGATTAGTTCATCGCTTCTTACCAATTATCGTGGCATGGCGAAGCCGAGGAGACGAAGGATTATGTACACATTTTTACGCATTGCTAAGTAGTCGAATATATACGCATGATACGGACGGGTTTAATGAAAATGTCAGAGCCAGCGATCGTCTAGTCAGGATATGCACCAGTCTCGGTCGGTGGTAGAAGAAAGAGAGCAACAGAGAGAATAGAGGGGCAAGAATAGAACTGGGTTTGGCAAGCGTGGTGATTTTATACACCTACCTTTTAACCGGACCGTGGACGATTGTATTGTATTCGTTTCACGGTACGTATCATGCTCGACCCAGGTGGTTTCGCGACGAAAAGTATATTCCCGTTTTACACGTCTACCGTTCCGACGATCCGCCGTCGCGGCAACGTAATTATTTAACGAGATCCTGAACGATCGAAAGGCTGTACACCCGACTTCCCGATACATTGTGGACATCGGAAATATGAGATCATGGATGGTTGTGATACGTGTGTCGTAAAATTAGAATGTGTTACGATCCGATAGATCGTCGCGGTTTTCACGATCATGCATCTCTCGGGAAGCTCGTCAACGCTTGAAGAATGACTTAAAGTTAAATAGATCACGATCCACCATCTGACGAGGTTCGATGCGCAATGCTGAATATCGCATTATCCTGGATATGTTGGCTGTTTTGGGCGGGTCTTCCGACTCTCACAGCCCATCCTGTGTCATCTTCTATAGAAACAGGTAACGTTCATCGTTCGTTTCATCTTCTATCATAAAAGAATAACATGCTGAGCACGAGGTTACTTCGCTTCAGATCTATCATACATCTATCCCCCGCGAGAATGGGAACAATATTGGATACAATACACTCTCATCGTTTTAAGCATAACAGCCACCGCATTTACTTTAGTCGGGTGTCTTTGCTGTCGGAAACATAGGAGGCCCAAAGGATTTCAGGTAATTCTCTATTACTTATCCCGTCCCACGTACGACAGATCAAAATCCTTGTTAATTTACTGGCATTTGAATAATGATTTGTACGTTACTAATTGTAGGACAAAGAAGGAAAGTGCAATCAGGTAACATTGATAATATAAATTTTGAATTATTAAGAACGTTCTTTTATTCTATAATAACACCCTGCTCTCATAAATGATCACATATGTTATTACGTGCCTTACAAATGTTAAATCAATTTAAATATAATAAGCAATATAAAAAGAATCATCGATTTAAAATAAAACTATCACATTTTAGTGTAATCTGGACATGCCAAAGTAGTTGCATGCATACTACTTACAAGTTATAATATTATGTAACATAGTTTAATGTACTTGAATGAACTTCTTTGTTTTTTGAATGTCTCTTGCTTATAGTCCGTACACGATTTTACATTCCAGGATTGTGGTTTTGTTTTAGGAGTTTAAAGATGGAAACGCTATTGGACAGGAGTCGGCATTCGAACATTCTATCGAGGGTTTGGAATTGAACGTTCCGCATATGCTGGCTGTTACAGAGAGAGTACAGTTCGAACCTCTGCCGGTGGAACAAATTATATCTGGATCTAAAACCGTTTCGAAACCTAAACCGTTGCCGCTGTCGACGGCAGTTTTCGAAATACACGATTCCGATTCGAATATCTTACCGGAACAGTGTCGTGAATGGTTCGACGCGCAGGACTTGTGTGTGCCCAGAGAGAAATTGAAATATCTAAGGGAGATCGGGCATGGTTGGTTCGGGAAGGTCGTGGAGGGTCGCGCGGATTTGGAAGGACATAAAAGAAGTTCGAAAAACGGTAGCGTCGTCGTGCGAATTCTCACGGAGGACGCGACTATGAAAGAAAAAGCCTGGTTCCTCGGGGAAGTTACACCGTATTTAAAACTGCATCACCCGAACATCTTGTCGCTACTTGGATTTTGTTTAGAGACCGATCCATATCTACTACTGTTCGAATCCTGTTCAGTGGGTGATCTCAAAGGTTTCTTATTGACGAACCGTGATAACAAGTCTCGCGAAGCACTGAACAAGGAAAACATCCCAATGAGAATGGCGTTAGATATCGCTGTTGGCTTGAAGCACATGCACAGCCACGGATTTGTACATACGGATTTATCTGCTAGAAATTGTTTAGTGTCGTCGGATCTGTCGGCCAAGTTGGGAGATTACGGGACCGGCGTAGAAAAGTACCCGGAAGATTATTACGTCGTCGGAGATCGCGCGTTGCCTATCAGATGGTCGGCACCGGAGAGCATAGAATGTACTGATACGACGATCGAGACTAGAGAAATCACGTCACAAGCAAACATGTGGAGTTACGCGATTTTCCTTTGGGAAATAGTTACTTGGGGGAACAGACCGTACCACGATAAGAGCGACGAAGAAGTGATTCAAATGCTCTTGTCCCTAAGAACCGATCTTTTATCAAACGGTATACAAGTGTTGCAAACGTACCTAGAAAACTGTCCGGCGAACGTGTATCAAGTGATTCATTTATGTCTGAATTTAAATCCACAGAAAAGACCGAATTTGGATGAGGTGAAGCAACTGCTTTTGAACGAACACACAGAATACCTGGACTTTGAACAAAGGTGGGAAAGATTACAGGGGAACGCTAAACAGACTCGAAGCGCTAGCTTGCAAGATCTTCGTGGAAGCATCGATTCAGATTATTGGACTACGATCGTGGACGATACGCCGCGACAGTCGTCGTTTCGGCTCGGCGAACCGGTGAAGAACGTGCCGAGCGTTAAGGACATCGTTCAACACGAATCCAGTTCCGAAACCGAGGAAGAGAGTTGGAAGGGACGGATAGAGAAAGGCGTTTACACGGAGAAAGTTAAGCAGAAGTCCAAGTCCGTGACTGACCTAATGGTTCTTGTACATATCGATCCCGATTCCGATGCGGAATTGTCACTGGTTCAGATATCGGAGAAGCATGGAAAAAAGAAATTACCCGCTACCGGTAGCGACAGCGACCTTAGGCACAGCAGCCACATGTCCAACGAATTTGACGAAGCATTAAAGAAATTACGAGACCATTTGCCAAATAATAATTCTAGTAAAACGAAAGTGTTAGATGCTTCAGAAGGGCCAACGCTACTGACCTTAACCATGGATCAAGCTCAAACTCCAATTTTAAGATTATCTTTGAACGACAAGGAATCCGTTCCCAACGTTTCGAGTACGGAAACGCATGCTACCGAAACGCGTACCGATAAACACGTACTGAGACTTTTATCAAAGGGCGATCCGGATCTTCCTTTACTACGTTACGTACCTGATGATACATCTTATTTCGATGGGTCGACGAAGCAGAACAATGAGTCCCGATGCAATGATACGTCGCGACACGAGAACACCGACGAATCTTGCTTCTCTAATAATTTTACAGTTAATTTTGGGGCTGAGGGCGATTTAGTCGATGTTGAACTTTGGAATCATGCATTGGATTCTGCTTTAGAAAAGAAAGTACCTGGTTTCTTGGGCGAGGGTGAATTTAACGAATATACGGAGTTTAACTCTAGGGACGGAAATATTTTATCCGAATTAGCCACGTCCACGCCAGACTCTCCGCGATCACGGACGCAATCCGTGAGCGATAAATTTACCAATGAAAAAAATGTAGATACAGATCGGAGATGTTTGCCAAGTGAGACGAAGGAGATGAACGACGAGGAAGAGGAAAGGAAGCAGTTGTCTACACCCGACGATGAACAGAGTTCTGATTCTGGATTTCGGGATAAGGAATCGTGCGAGGAAGAGGAGAATCTATACGCGTCGGTTCCTTCGACGTCCGCTAATAATCCCGCGGCGAATGTGCCAATATCTACTGAAGAGGAACAGTTACAGATCTTATTCGAATTGGACACTATTCTCGATGCTGAATACTACGCGACGCTTCCTGGATCTGATAAAATTACCGACAGCTTCTCTTCGATAAATCATTTAGAAAGTAAGATTTTTTCTACGAACGAAGACGAGTCTGATTCCATTCACACTATAGATACCGTAGTTGAAACGGAAAGTAACGAGAACCTTCCTCTCAATGTCAATTTAGTAGAAAGTGACGCGGCGAAGTCGTCGGTATCGGAAGATGAACAAGAAACACGGAACGTGATTGATACTGGAGATAAAATTGAATCAAACGATTTAAACGATACGAATTTTGTTTCAGAATACGTAGATTTAATGCAGCGTAACGTACCGTCTAATGTAGAATATTTTAATGAACAGAAGGAATCGGAGCAATATTTAGGAAATGAGAACGAGGCGGGGATTGAAATTGAAGAAGAGATTTTAAATAGAAATAAATTTGAAGATGACAATAAATGTGAAAATAATAAAGGTACATGCGGGGAGAATGTTGAAAATAAGATCGAAGACAGAGATAAGAAGGACGAGAACGATCTTCAGGATGAACTCGAGTTTAGAAATAAAAACGAAATGAGGAGGGCAAATGAAGATGAAAATAAAATTAGTGTCACAAATAGTTTTAAAGATAGAATTGTGAATGAAGAGGAAACAGAGAATGAAAATAAGAACGAAGATGATAATGAATCCGAGCACAGGGAACATTACGAACGTGAGGAAAGGAATGAGGATGAAAACGAAGACGAAGATAGTTCTACGATGAGTATGCGTAGCGATAATTCTTACGTGTCGTTCGATATAGAGGAAGAGTTCGTAACAGCAATAAGAAATGAGCTTTTAGAAAAATTACCGTGTGCTCAGATGGCTGTCGTGGAACCTTTAGAAGCTCACGACGATGACGATAATCCCTCTGTATCTAGCGACATGGACGGTAAACAGTGGGACGATGACGATAGCGAGGAATCTTCTAATCAAGGTAGCGGTGGAGTGGGTATTTCAATAAGGTATCTTTCATATCTAACGATACGTTGTAATACTAATTTTAAAGATTTTTGAGATGCGGGTTTTTATACTTCAGGTACAACATATACGACTCTCCTCTCAGTCCGATCCAAGAGGAACGCGAGAGTACTGTTAACTCGGAATCTATAATATCAAACTCTAAGGATGCATCGATCGCGTCGAAGGAGTCAGACGACGTGTTGTTGGTCGATACTCGAACGAACAAAATGATTTTGCTGGAAGGTTTGGGAGAGAACCTGCAGGACGACGAACGAGATACAACGAACGGAGATCTTTCCGATGAGGAAAATTTGGATTACAATTGTTCGGTGGTTCGCGACGAGAAATCGCGTCTAATGATCGTGGGCGGTGGAGCACCTTTGCCGAGTCCGGAAGAGGAATCAAAGTGGCAACAGTTACCTTCGTCTTTTCCGTTACCTCTGCCGTTACCATTGGAAGACGACTTGATGTCGACGAGTTTTGGGATAGAACATGCGTGGGCCAGTCAGGACGAGGATGAAGACGAAGAGGAGGAGGAGGAGGAGGAAGAGGGAGAAGAGGAGGACGAAAACAATAGTTCCAGTTCTGGAGAATTTGTGTGGAAGGTACGTGTAATATCAATAAAATCTATGAATCGCTCATGCAAGGATTTATCATTAATTCGCAGAGATACAACGAACCGGACGTCGAACAAGTTCAAATTCGCTCAAGTAACAACGAAGAATCAATGGAAGACGAAATAGATCAAGAAGGCGAAGATGAAGAGGAGGAAGAGGAGGAAGACGAGGAAGAGGAAGAATTTACACCGTCAGCTTGGAACGCGACTTTAGCACCTCATCGTTCCGCGTTGAGGTCTCCAGATAAAACGTTGAAGTCTGGCGTGAGTCTCATACACGTTTACATTTACTTGCATACGCACAAATATTTAACTGTTTATAATCGTTTTCGCTGCTAGGACGATTCGGTGGGTGAAGTAATTAATGGAAGTTAAATATGCACGACGCGTACCTTGTCGAATTAGTAATTTGTGTTCTATGCAGGATCAAAAGAAGAGCGTGTGGTTTAAGAAGCAACGCTACCATTGTGTCTACGAATATCCAAAGGAAACGTTGACTGCGGAAACTCAAGGAGAACCGACTACTACTTGGGAGCCTACGTCGTACAGTGGTAAATATAATAAAACATACATTCTTGATTCGTCGACTTGATTCCTCGTTATTTCAGATTGGGAGGAAATGATGGACGAACCAAGATTGGATCTGTATCCCATTGATTACGATGATGTCAATCATACCGGTACGTTTTATTTCCTCTTCTCCTCGTCTCTTTTACGGACGAATGTATACAACGTGACGTCAATATGTTACAGGAAACGAAGAATTTTTCGTGAGCAGTTCAAATCGTCCATTTCAGTTTCAAACTAGCGACAGTAAATATGTGAGTCAATTTTTTCCTGGTGCCTCGACGTCCGCGAACAAAGACCGGGACGAAGTAGACGGCGGCGATCATCAAGTAGTATCTCAGAACGGAATAGAATTGTTGACTGATTGTGGTCAGATTCAACAGTATCAATTGGGAGAACTGAGACATACCAGGGATCGGTTGAAATTGAATTTAAACGGCGCACCGTTTGTTTCCGTTAAACAAGCAAAAGAGGACGACGAACAGATGGAACGGCCGCTTGATCAACAGAAGGTTTCGGAAATCTCGGCGAGTACAGACATTACCCAGGACCAACATATTCTATCGAACTCCTCGGATTACAATACGTTACCAACGGTGCCTCCTAAAGACGTTCAACAAGAAGATGTTATCGACTCGACTTGTTCGAAAAGTGCCCAATGTGATAGCCAAGGTAAAATCGAGCCTATCGACAAGTGTAGTGTTTCGACGCGCGAGTAATGTGTCTCGAAGACGATAGTAAAAAATGTTAAAAGAATGATAATTTAGCTAAAGTCCGTCCGAACTAATTTCATTGCAAAAAGCATAGCGATTGCTCGACGAGATCACTGTTTAATGAATCTCGAATCGTTGTACATAAGACGTAGCAAATTTTTATTGCGGCTGAGACTCGATCGATTGTCTATAGTATTATATTATTTTGATTTGTTGTATAAAAACGGGATATAGAGCTTAATGTTGATATAATTTTTGATACGATCAGCTTGATGGCGATAAAACGAGTACCGTGAACATTAATTATTAATTGACTCGACTAGCGGACAATCGACTTTTAATGGCTATATCAAAAACTGTTTAGTAATTTTCACTTCGTATCTGTACATATTTATTATTAAACATTGTTCAGTAACGTAATCGTTATCAGACGAGTAGGACTCGAGTAAGTCACTGTTATTTTTATCGGTGATGATTATTCATACTGATTTTCGATCATTGTTACCTTTAAATACGATATTTTTCTTGATATTAAAAGTTACATTTGTAGAAAACCAGCTCTCTACTATAAAAAGTATTATAGTGTCGATCGTGGGACGGTAATAATATTAAACCGAGTCTCAATTATTATCAGTAAGGAAATGTATAAATAGCTCACGCACGAATAATTTTTTATAAATGTATATTATACTTGTTACTTTTACTAGGATCTGTGATGGGCACAATTTTGTGCACTTTCATTTCACTTAATTTCCCGAATTCAATTGAGACCTCAAAGTAGCACAAAAGACAAGCTGCCGTAATTTATCGCATACTATTTTTCAACGTTTGATAAATATTTCAACGTGTGTTACCTTCCCAGCAGCTTTTCACGTTTACACGATATCCTTTTTTATAGAATACTTTGGCGAACGTTACGTGAAATCCAAGTGCACAAGAACGATTGTTTATTATGAACATAGTATTAAATATTAGATTCACGATATGCAAGTATTTATTTGAATATGAGAATAACAAATACCAATGATAACTTGATACTTGTTAATTATTCAAACGCTATGCAATTTTTAACGAAAATACATTAGGAAATTTTCAACGTTACCATGACAAGAAGAGAACCATCGAGCAACAAAATTAGAAAGAATTAGAAATAGAAATGTTTGGTATTTGTATCGATATATACACTCTGATTTCATCGACATGTGTGAACTTTGAAAACATGTAAAACTACTATTACGCGATTTTACTACCACTACAGTTATTATTCTTATTATTATTGTCATTCTTCTTATTATTGCTAGTAACGCTAACTCTGTGCTCATTATAACACATACAATATTAATAGAGAATAATTAATATATTGTTATACGAAGCAGACTTTTATTTGGAGTAGAGAAAAATGTCTCATCCCATTCCCACGTCTCACCGATTTGCTCGAGGTTTGAAACGTAGATGAAACTTTATTACAAACATGTTTACCTAGACGACAATCATTTTTATAAAAAATATATCACTTCACCTTTGTACATTTATATATGACGTTGACGATTACGCCATAGAATGATGAGCCCCTGAATATCCGCGGACGCGAGGAGAGATTCATCGTAATTAAAGGACAAAGCGAGCGTCGGCGACGCGTGTCCTTGTAATCGATTGATTTTAGCTGCCTTGCCCTGCCTCGCAGAATCCAAAAGGTGTATCGTACCGTCCTCGGAACCGGTGGCTATCAAACACGTTTCCATTTGCGGGCAGAACGTAGACCGCACGAAATATTGTCTACGGAAGATACATTTTGTTTACAGTCCCATGATCACTCTGTTCGCGGTCATGAAAATCACGAATTACTTGTGCTTTATCGGATATTTCGTCCAAAGAGACAACGATCCCTGATTGTCGACGATGTGATACAGGAGCACCATGTTACAAGCGCTGCTGACCAACAGTGCTGGACAAGGAGTATCCTTCGAAAGCCACGAACGCCAAGAGAGACTAGTTATCATCCCGCCAGCTTCTAATATCCTTTTCAATTTCGTTAATCGACCTGATCCCGGTTCTAATTGAAACGATATGACGATTCCTCTATCGGTTCCGACCCATATCACCGAACCACCGCTACCTTCGCAAGTCAACGATAAAATCTGAGACAGAATATTTAGTATAATACATACACGACGTAGGATTAATGTCAGGAGAGACTAACTTTTCCACCAATCTTGCAAGATCCACCGCGGGTATATATACCCGTTGATATATTCAAGATCTGTACAAGTCCTTGGGAGTTTCCAGCGACTACCAAGTTATTGTTTATAGGTACAAACCCGCAGCACAGAACTTCTGCACGCTGTTGGTCGTTGACCACCCTTAAACAAGTCGGACAGTTCTCCATATGGAGAACGTTCCAGAGTCGTATCGTACCATCGAGAGACGACGAAACTATTAGATCATTGGTGATGCTCCAGTCTAACGCAGTAACGCCTTTCTTATGACCCTCTAGCAAAGCTATCACTTTAGGAGGTGTGCTGATGGCATCGCATATAGACAGTGACCCGTCCAACGATGCGCAGCATAACTTTGACCTATCGTTGTTCGCGAATTTCAGCATCATCACGGGTGCACTGTGTTGATCGAAAACGTGATGCACTCCATCGAATGCAAAACTTTCTGCTGTCGATTTTCGTTGCGTGCTCTGAAGCTTCGTTTTAACTTCTGATCTCTCATCCTCGGACGTGTGACCACTGAAACTGGCCTGTTCTAAATTATCGCCGTAGCGTAGGGACAATAGCTTCGACCTCAGTTTCAAGTAGCTCTCACGGATCTTTGGATCTTTACTGAATTTCTCTTTGAGCAGTTGATTTCGACGACGAATATAAAGGATTCCTGTAAGTATATTCTTCTTAAAATCGGACGTACTGCTTTAGAAAATAACGCAGCGTGTGTCGAAGACGAACCTAGCGTAGGTAGTTTGTTTGCACGTTGTGCATTGTATTTGGCATCAAGTGCGAACACTTGTTGATGCCACATAGTAATCATTTTTAAATTCTGGAATATATTATTTAATTCACAATTGATGTCATCCTCTGTGACAATGACATTTAACCTGTTCTAAAACCCTTCCCAAACGATTTCACATAACATCATTCATCAACATTATAATCATTCCTTAAATGATGAATCAATAATTAATCCTTTTCTGTATTTCCTTTTCGTCCTCTTTCTGTTTACACTTTGAAACAAAGACCAAATGATTTAACAGTAACAGCTGGGTATCAACAGCGTTGGGTACATCGTGGGATTTTTCGAACGTGCGCACTGGGAGTTACTAATTTGGGAGAAATTGAAGGGGTACCCCTTGGAAAAATTTCGGAAAAATCGAAAATTTGTTGTTGTTGTTTATTATTAGCATTGTTCTTCCGACGTCTGATTTATTTTTAAAAAATGCGTTTCTAAAGTGCATAAACTTTTAGGATTGACTGTATAGCCAACACATCCTTAAATTTCCTCAACTGCATCCCTTGTCTTCTATCGTTTAGTGTTTCTTTATTGATATCAATGATTTAAAAGAATAACGATTCTCTAAAATCTGCGATACCATTACAACGATCGATATACTACTTTCATTTAATAATTATTCTCAAATATGTCGAAGAATTCTTCCGTGAATCGTATAATAATCAGTTACGTAAATTATTATACACAATATGTATTTATGTCACAGGGTTCTTTTAATACATTTATTCTTAGATATTCATATTTATACACAGTAGCTATTTCCTTTTTTTTTTTAATAATTATATATAATAGCAGTAATGGCGCAATGCATTTTGCATCTTCGTTCGATAGATTAATACTTGACAAAAATACAAAAATTATTAATTGTTTAATAATATTGTTATAAGAACGAACTGCTTCCTTAAAGTTTTCACGTTTTCGTGTCGCATATTCTTTTCCCTACTTTACTAGAATATTTCCTTTCTCTATTCCTCTCATTATACACCGTATTTAATATATATTAGTTGCTCTCTAACTGATTTGAGCAAGAGATATATATATATACCAAGTGCGAGATATTCGAAAGTATATATATGTGTGTGTGTGTGTGTGTGTGTGTGTGTGTATATATATGATGAAAGAAAAGTACGTACTTGATTATTTCCAAATCGTTACAAATCCCTTGAATTCTTAATTAATACACGAGTACGTTTATAATAAGTATACGTATGTTCAATGTGCAAGGATATCCCAAAGATCTTTTATACAAATTTACTAACGTATTTAAATGTCCGTGTAACTTATGTGAGTGCTCGAAACATACCTTTGAATTTACATGATTGCCGCGACAAGTACCGTAACAGAAAAAGCTAAATCGCAGATAACAGCAGTTCTTATATAAACTAGGAAGCGAACGAAACATTTACATAAAATACAGTGATAGTAATCCGATAAATAAGGTTTCGTAACGTGAGTATGAGTTTGATAACGTTTAAAATAAGATATGTTAATTTAATGATAACAGAGCGTTTATCAACCATTTAAAATCATACGTATATTTATAAAGCTTGATTTATATAGCACAATATTCGAAAGTCGTTAATTAAGTTATTAATATTAGGTAGTAAACATTTTAAGAACACCCTGTACAATCAGGATGAACAATCCGTATTATACTCGGGAATATCATTGTCGTCGACACGATCGATCCGTTCATCTCCTCGTCAAGTAATTTTATGGTTTACAGATTTACAGTTTCTCTTTGTTCTTGTTTCAAAGAACTATTCTACATTTGGTCTCCCGTGATTTTCAAACGTATTTTATCATCCGTATCGACGTCGTCTAATTTCGTGTATATATATATATATTTATATATGTATACATACGTATGTATAATGCAATCGCTAACGAGATTTTACTTACAATTATTTACTTCTCTCCCTTCGTAATCAGTGGTTGTACTTGGTACAGTTTTATACGGTAAAACAATTTGTTTCTTTTCTTTTTTTTATTCCCAAACGTATGGTACACGCATGCTAGATCGTAAAGATTTCAACAGCACCTCGTGAAAACACTTTACTCGCACATATTACATGTATTTTTGTTCGTTTACCTCTTAATGATAGAAATTACTCGGTAATAATGATTGCTATCCACAATGCAGAAATGTAATCCTCTCTAGAATGACTTGCATTAATTAAGATTTAGATCGTTCTGTCTGATTATTTAATAACTGTACAATATGTATCTAATTTAGCGTAGATAATGTAACAGTACGGCTGTTTCATTTCATCAGACGGATTCGACGACTACATCTTTTCCACTTTATATATCCGTGATATCTTGTCGAAACGATATCATTATGAATGCTCATTAGCGGTACACTAACATCGACGTTTGTTTATAGAGTTTTATCTTTAAGAAAAACGAAAATGCAAAAGGTGCAGGCTCGCAGACCGACTGAGATTTTTATGTGTAAAGTTTAACAATTAAGTTTATTAAGTAGTCAGTACTTTCGATCAACTAAAATTCACTTTTATTTACGTATTAACAAATATTACAGTTTTGTTAAAGCAGATCCAAGAAATGAATACGAATCAGACGAGGAAAAATGAAAAAAAGAAAAAAAAAAAAAACGAAAAAAAGAAAGAAATCGAAGAACTTGGGACGTAGCCACGTAATATTAATTGAACTATACATGTTGTGTGTTAACATCAAGTTGAAATCTTCATAACACGTGTCTTAAATTTCTCCTATATCTCGAAGAGCTTGTTTCTTGAGTAATAAATTTAAAGATAACGTTTTACAGCTTATACAATTATATTAGATAGTAATATAAATTATTTAAACGTTTCTCCGAACGATGATCGATTCAAAATTCACTTCGAACTCCATGAATTTTAAAAAAACTGACAAACGATACTCCGCAAATGAAAATGATTAATATGATAAACTAGAAGGAGTCAACCATTAATCTCTAGAAAGATAAATTACATGGATGATATAGAGGAATTAGTAAAAGTTAATTATATATCAATAAAGTTTTAGATAATACAACTTACAAGTATGAAAGGATTGTAAAAAGTCTATGTGAGAGTACTGCAAAAAGCAGGTGTGTTTGAACTCTGTCGTTTGAAATTTTATTCAAGGCACCACAAGAAAAATTACTCGGGAATTCTGCTCCGCGTTCTCTTTCCTAGCGTTCATTTTTTGTGGCACTCTTTAATCTGTTACGCCGCTTTCGTAAACGTAAGATACATTAAATAAGTACCGTTCTTATTTTCAAATCAAAGTTCTTAAAAAAGAAAAGCACAAGTCGACGATATCTTCATTTTTCTTTCTTTTTGGTTTAGTAGCTTATACGTTTGTTAATAAAATATAACTTTTTTAAAATTCTGGTAACTAAAAGAAATGCAAGGCGACCGAATCAAATGTTATTATGTATATTATGAATGAGAGCGCAGTAATGCGAAAATCAGTGTGATTATACACACGTTTCATTTTTCTTTAAATACGAAAAGTGACAACGTTATGACGATTATAACTTTATATACCTGATGTTTCCGTGGTTAAATACATACAATAATTGTAATTTACAGTAATACAGTTTTTATGTTTCGTAGCGAACGAGGTGCTCTCTCTCTCTCTCTCTCTCTCTCTCTCTCTGTCTTCCTCTTTTTTCTTTGCTTTTGTGTAAAGAAGCACTTTTAGATGTTAATGAACGGAGATGCCTACGTCATACAAAAAAACTATCACCCTTTGCAGTCGATGCAGTATATTCGCAATTGCACAGTAGTATACAGATAGGAGATCGGGAGTAAATTTAACAGTCAATTACTCTTCTAAATCATCTTTTCAATATTTCACACGAGATCTACACAAATCTTGATTTTCATTTCCTCTTACTTGTTTTCATCCTCTATAGCGTTTCGGGCATTCTCAATTATGTACGATCGTGCGGTCCAGGACTCTCGCACGTTGCAAACGCTATAAATTTATTTGGCACGAGTGCGCCTCATTGTTTTGGAAGAACTATGCAATTTTTTTTATCCGTGCTACGTGCTTTGACTGTCCATTTTATTTCCCTTTCGCATACCACGTTTGTTGCTCGAAGGAAACACATTTATACATAAACATATATATTGCATTGTACACACCAAAGACTTTCTAATGCAATTAAAAAATTATAAGTAAAACAACATGTTGAAGGATCCTTTCATGTTTTTTTTTTTAATAATCCAACATAATATCGAGATATTACGAGTATAATGAAATTAATACGACTAATTAGAAGAGAGAGTTGTAACGTTTTCTCCTTCCATCTTTTAAACTAATTACTGTATAAGATTTATATGTGTGAAAGAAATATGTAACCATCCCGTTGAACGCAATATCTTTAAAAATTGCTTAATCCTTCCACGTTTTAAAACTCATCTTACATTTTATAGTAACTCGTGTCATACCAGGATTATTTAGTTCCACCAAAAAAACCATCATCTCGTCTCGTGTCCTTTGTATCATTTATGTCAATGTCCGTATCTTCGCACCAGCGTGTATCACAGTGGTGAACGTTGCATAGTTGTAGTCCGAAATCATGTTTCTCTCATATTATTATTTTCCGTCCCGCAGTCCGAAACTGTGTGTTTAATTACTTCCCGTCCAGTAGCTCTGACTGTAACCAGGCTTCGCTTGGGCCTTGTTCTGGGAACTCGTGTTAGACCTTTGGCCTGTACTGCTGCCGCCGTCCTGATGAAGCGGCTGATGCAACTGATGGGGTATAGTCGGGATAAACAAATGCGGCGTCCCGTACGTACCAGGCAAACCAGCGTTTTGACTACCAGCAGTCAAACCAAACGGCGGGGGAGTCGCCGAATGAAATGTTTGTTTGTCGTACGACTAAAATAACGCGGAAAACTTGTACACCTAACTGGAGCTAATTGTTAAACGATTCTTTCGATCCTACGAGAATACTTACGTTCACTTTACCAAGTGCTACGTGACTCTTTGCGTACATCGTAGCGCTTATATCGGTCGCAGACGATCCACCGGTATTCGTGTTCCCAGTAGACGTTCCCGTTTTACCGCTCTGCGTACTGGAATAGCTGCTGCCAGCTCCTTTGTACTCGCTCGAGGGGCCGGCAGACGCTAACGCGTCGTAGCTAGCACCCGCTCCATATCCCGATCCATAGCTTCCTGGTTTAGCACTGTACGCACCACTGTTTGTACCGGCATTACCAGCAGTGGCTATCTGCTACAGTAAACGTCGGATAAATCAATCTTGAGCAGATCTTCGTTGAATCAATCGTGATTCTAACTTACAGGATAAATGGCAGGAGTTCCATACTGAAAGCCGCCTGGCATTATTCCACCACCGTACGCGAAGTATGCGTAAGTCGGTGGAAGAGCAGGGTTCATCATTGGTTGTTGATGCTGCGTAGCAGTCTGCGAATAACGAATCGATTTCGTCCAGAATCACTTCATATTATATTAATCGCGTTGTATGTTCGGAGTCTCACCTGTTGCGACATAGTCGACGGAACCGGGGACGCGTTGCTATCGTTTCTGGCGAACCTAGCGTCGCTAATACTGGTATAGGGTCCTTGTACGCCTTGCACTCCTTGGACACCTTGGACACCGGAGAGCCCATCTCCTCGTCCGCCACCGAGACTGGTAGCTGGACCGGTTGTCTGATAGCCCAACGCCGCGTCATAGTAACCAGTAGTTGGCTGCAGGTTAGTCAGGAAGGCCAAACACAAAACTACATGCATACACTGTGTACTCCAAATACAAGAAGGCTAACTAATATCTAAGTCTACGCGTACTGGGTTTCAGGGCAGGTAACATGCGTTGTACCTATGTCGTACCTTTGAACGTGATCTCGTAGTCTCTTTTATAAATGTATTTAAAATAAGGTACAACTTAACCATGTGAAAGAACGTACGTTCGTGTAATTTGAAATATTTAACATCTGGTACGGAGGGAACGAGAGATGTATATGAACATGAGCTACAGTGAGTCTGCGATTAAAATGAATACATCATTCCTCTCAAATTGATCGCAGTTTTACTTGCCTACTAAACATTGTATCGGGAATAAAAGAAAAGAAGAATTCGTCTGATGCGAAACATCCCACTATAAAAAATATAATAAACTTCTTGTGCCATCTTGTAAAAGACGTGAACGAACAACTCATAATTGTTCAAAGAAGAAAAAGTAATATAGAAATAACGAGCAGCTACCAAGCATTAAAGAAATATTACTTGAGCATTCTTCGTACTAAATAATCATAACATAAGATATAGTAGCACGCTTCATAGTAGTACATCCGAGATCTGTTTACTGTCTCAAGAAACACGATACACGATACGTATAAAAGTTTTTCCTCGATGTACGATACTTCAAAGCAATTGAATCGAATCAAGTACAAATTGCTTTCGACGCGAAGCAACTTGTAGTTGAAAAACAAATTGAACAGTGACTGACCATGTGTTGCATTCTCTGCTGCAGGATCTGCAATTCTTCGTAACTGTACACTGGTTGCTGGAACGCGTAAGGTACACCCTGGCCCATGATGTATTGGTGGCTCAGCACGGGAGTCATGCTGCCAGCCGCACCACCACCAGTTATGTTTCCAGTTCCACTACTACCCGTTACTACGCCGCTCGATGTACTCTTCGGGACTGCTTTACAAACGATAAAACTGATTTCATTTCCGTTCGATCATATCACAACGATTTAAGTTGAGTATTACGTACCATTGGAATTTGTTACTTTAGTCTGTGAACTGTTTACGGAAGCGGAGCCCAGCGTAGGCGCCGTTGTAGTCGCAAGAGAGTTGTTCGACGTCGTCGTGTTACTATCGTACTGAGAATCTTTCGTGGTATTACTGTTCAATTTGTGATTGTGGGATCCGGTTTGCGGCTGACTGGCATACGTGCCGTATGCACTTCCGTATATCTGTCGACAAATCAGATCGACCATATTACATATATAAATATTCCGATTTACGTCTATACGTATAGAACAGGATGCTTACGGATTGCGCTGCACTTTGATAAGCGGCAGAAGACTGTGTAATGGGCGAGGTGAAGCTAGTAGCGGATGGCTGATAAGCTTGCGGAGTCGTTTGAAACGACGACGATCCTTGGTACCCGCTCGTTTGATAGCCTGTACTGCTGTTCGAGACGGTATTCGTAGCTACGGACTGTGCCTGGTACTGGGACGTCGTCGTAGGCGCGTATCCACTTGCAGATTGATATACCTATTAACAAAACGTACTTTAACGTTCCTGTTTTCATACAAGTCGTTCCAATCAAGAACATCTCGGTCACCTGATTCGTAGTTGTCGGTTGATTGTAACCAGAAGTTGCGGATGCAGACGCGGAAGGAGATGGTTGACTAAAAGTCGACGTGTTAGATTGTGGAAACGACGACGAAGAGTTATAACTTGCTTGAGTGACGGTCGCCGTTGCCGAGTAACTGTTGGCGCTCGTGCCCGACGCGCTCTGATACGACGATTGAGCAGACTGAGCATTCGTGGAGTAGGCGTTGTAGGTGCTCGGCGTCGCCGAGGGTGCTTGAAACGATGACTTCTGCGTCTGATAAGTCGTCGTACCGTACGGCGGCGCGTTTCCCGGGGAGACTTGCGAAGTGAAATCCTGTTTAGTTATGTCTAACGTTTGTCCGGTACTGCTGCCGCGAGCGGTGAACGTTTGAGCGTTTATCGTATGCTCGCTCGATGCTGGTAAACTGTCGCTATTCGATAACTGCAAGTTGAGAGAATTATTTAACAGAAAGAATCAACTTTGTCGATATCTCGATAAAGTGAACTGACCATTTGAGAAGTAGTGTTGAAAGGTGTCGTCGACGACGGCTGCGTCGTTTCAATGTCCAAAGAGCTATTCGTATTGGCAGTGTTCACAGTATTCGTAGTAGAAGACACGTCTACGCCAGGAATCGTATTACTAGCCGAGTTATACTTCTCATTCGCAGAGCCGTCGAGGGAACTCGAATCGCTACCAAATTCAAGTGCACCGAATTGGACGTCGAGGAAACCAATGCCACTGTTGACAGCGTCGCCAGGCATTTCTACCGCAGTCGACGGTATCTTTGACGGCGGCGGTACTCTCGGACGTTGTTTCGTCTGCCTTTGAGGCTGATACATTTAAAAAGCGTTAACGATCGCGATTTCAAGCGTAACTGGATAACGTAAATTTGCAATTGAGGTGTTCAATTACTTGGTTGGATATCGACGAGGAAAACGTAGTTTGTCCAGCAGTTTTTAAATTCTCGCTCGACTGTTGAGTGAACTGAGTTAGATACTGTGTTTGGGCAGCCGTTAATACGCCGCCGCTTATAGCATTCGGTTGTTGCGACAACTGCATCGTTGGTAAAGTCAGTACAGGTTGCTGTTGCTGAGATTGTTGAATTATAGTTTGTTGTTGTATAGCTGGTATTTCCGTCAATTTTGGTAATTCCTTTCAGAAAAACAATATCTTTTGTGCACACGAGGGACGATCGACAAATTAACATACATATACGTTACATACTTCCTGCTGCAGTAGCGACAAATTTACACTCTGATTCGATTGCACTCCTTGGATATCCTGAGTTCTTGGCTCCTCCGTGGCTGGCGGAGCGTCCACCACCGTCGTACTTGGCGTGAAAACCTTCGTATCTGCTAACGAACCTGTGTATTCTTCGTTATCCCAGTCTTCTGCGGAATCCAAATTGTTCCACGCATCTACTCGTACATTTTTGCGTTTTGTGCGTGAGACCACGACTTGTCGCGAGGGCGATTCACAATTATGAATTCGCGAAACTTACCCATCTTTGGTTCCTGAGCGGCTTGTTGTTGCTCCTCGTTGCCTGTCCAGGTATCGATCGACCGGTTAAAGCTGTGAGCAGACGAGCCGGATCCAGGATCGTTGCGATTAGCGAACGTCCGCGGACCGAGTCCCCTTACTCCGCCTCGTCCACCTCGGCCAGGTCTACCCGGACCGCCTCTTCCCCTTCTGTTACCGCTGTAACTACCGTCGCGGACACCGTCCTCCATGTTTCTCTCGTTCTCTTTATTTTCCCGTCCACGCCCTGAGATATCGACCAAGTTGTAAAACGGCAATTTATCAATGACGATATTTTAAATGCACATTTCAGCAAACGTACATCCACGATTATCACGGCCACGCATACGGGGAGGGCCACCCGACCGTTGATTACGTCTCTCGTCCCAATCGCCGGTCTCGTCTTGACCACCGGACGTATCCATGTTCTGTTTCGAGCCGGCAGGTTGACGAGGCTTCTTCTTCTTCACCTCCCATTCTGTTTTCACCCCCTCGAGAAGATCATTGACGGCGCGATCCAGGTCCCCGTCACTGTCGTGTAAAGCCATGACGACCTCGTCCTCCGACCGTCTGGTCATATCCATGACTTGCTTGATCCGTTCTTTCAAGACAGGATCCTCGCCGCCGCCCATTCTAGTGTCGATGATTTGTGCATGCCGCATCTGAGCAGTGTTTGGCTGGAACGCCATAGTTTTTAATAAAATGCTTTTTTATACAGATTGCAAGGTGAACCGAGGCAACGTTTGGTGAACAAAGAGACAGCATCTACTGACCTGTGTTTTGTCATGTTTTATTGAATCCGATGATTTCTGATGATCCGATTTCCCATGCTGGTGTGATGATTTATTTTTATTGGTGCTCCTCCCACCAGAGGACACCGATTTGTTGCTTGAACTCATTGCCAACTAAAATCCCACACACCTATATCACTCACCTATCACACTATGTACACTCTCTATTTACAGTCTGTAACAAAAAAGAGCAATAATTGGCTACAATGAAACATGATTGTGCATAAAAGACAACTACCAATGTTCCAAATTTACTTTTATCCCTCAAGTTAAATGTGCAGAAACGTTACCATATCGACAATAAAATCGCATATAATCCCCAAATTCAATCAACATTCATTTATGTAATAATGCTAAATATGAATCTATCCTATGAGAAAAATGCCTATATAACTAAAACTAATGTCCAAATACACAAGTTCTGAACTTTCATATTAATTTCTATAAAAATTATAGTAATATTCAATTATGTTTCATCATCGTTACGAAGACAACTGGAAAATGAATTACACCAATGTTAAATTATATAAAATATGTTCTCCAACATCACAAGGGAAGTATATGATTTGAAAATAATTCACACGCACATGAAATGTGGAGAAGAATAAAATACACAACAATATAATATCAAAAGCTAGAACCATTTTACTGTTAGCACTCAATGATAATAACTCAGAGATGAAGAACAATTAACACGTCGATGTACCCGAGTGTTTACTAAATATTTAAAGTTTAACGTCAAACAGTAATTGTGAAAAAATGTGAGAGGCGATCCGGAGCACGTCAACGTGAAATTTAGGGAAACTAGGTACTGCTTCCTGAAGAAAGGGGCAGAAGGTTAGGGACGACCAACGAGGATAAATAGAGAATCGAACGATTTAACAAGTATCTCTTAAAATAGTCACGTTTTCCCTAAAACGGTTGTCGAAAAGAAGAGCGGATAAACTGAGCGTCAGGGCGATACGTGAGACGGTCTTGTTCACAAATTTCGCGAAATTGCGTACGATCGTACCACTCGATCCGAGGAATTGCCGAGACCACCGTGGATCCTCACGGAATTGCTCCTCCGCGGCACGGAACGTTTCGAAAGGCGACGAAGCGACGATATTTAAAAAAAAGATGAATTTTGACGTGCGCGGTGAGAATATGACGAAGAAGGATTTAATCGGGCGCATCACAAAAAACACCTTGTCCGTTGCGTTGTTGTTCGTGAACGAGTCGTGAAAATTCTTCGAACGGATGATAAATAGATCGGCCGTGGAGAAATACGTTATACTCCTGATATTCGTTTACTAAGACGTTGTGATGGAATATTTCCCGCAGACCATGTGCACGGTAGACGCCATTTCTGGTTTTGCGAGGAAGGCTTGTCAACCATCGCCGCGGTGGAGCATCGATAGATCTCCCAGAGACGATCAAGTCAAAGTATTTGCAAGTAACTCACAGTTATTGTAAGCGTTGTTTGCGTGCTCGAGGGTCACGTCCGGAGTCGGAAACAAGCGAAATTCACGACGCCTCGGCTTTTTCGGCCGTGGCGCGCGAAAAATCACGAAAAAAACAACGAATTTCCTCGTACCTGGTTAGTGCGCTCAAAACGCAGCTCGGTCACGTGACCGGGGGCCACCACCTCTGTACTTTATCAGGCTCCATACGAATGGCCAATTTTACAACCAGAAATTTCAAATTCACTAACTAACCGGACCCAATTTTACCGAATTTTTTTATCGAACTCGAACGGTTCCAATTCCATTATTCCATGCCTAACGAGAGATCTTTTTACCCGATTTCTCACTCGTACCTTTATTTAACAATGCCGTCATGTAAAATATAAAATATAAAAAGAGGAACAGTGCATGCAATCTGCCGAGAAACACGAGAGAGACTCGCTTCTTTGTGTAATGGAGCTAGAGATGCACCATTGAAATTCTAAGAATATCGGCTATTTTTAATTTAATTTTCCCATTATTTATTTCCCATTTTATATGGAAATCATTTTTGTTAGAATGAAAATGATGTGACGAGAACAAAAGACTAATTAACGGAATCGAAAGAACTACGTGTATGTAATACGATTGGACTCAATTGGACCTTTTGCATGTGTAGAAGTAAACACGAATGTGTTAAGAAGATAGATTTGACTTTAGAAACAGAAAGACATTTATGAAAATAGGGTGGCTCGTTGAGCCAGCAATAGCAAAATGGATTCGTATATAATGCAGGTATTACGTTAAAAATAGTATTACATGCACCTCGTTGATCAGAGAAGTTTTAACATTCTGGTTATGTTCATAATAGGTCAGACGCATGTGGCTAAATCAGGACGGAGAGGGTTTAGCAGTAAATATTTCTACTGACAAAATATGAATCATGTAAAAGTGTAAATTCTCATGTTAATTTTTTATTTAAGGATCTCCTGTCTTTAAGACACGTCCATGTAAACATTCCACAAATCGGATCAGAAACAGCAATGACTAAAGCAATGGAACATTTGTCTGCCCCTCTCGATGATCTAGTACTTTACCACTTAAAGTAAACGAATTAAACCTAGACAAACTGTTCTATAACCGTTTCAACTATTTCTTAATGGAACATGTATTTTTAGAACTGTAGCAGCTATGAACAAAGACGATCCATTGTCCATGTATAATCACCAAAGTTCAGCAGTTCAATCTCTGACGAAAATCCTTCAAATGCAAAAAGAGGAGAATTGGATGTTGCCTGTTATGAACGTGATGTGCTTAGAATTAAGATTTTTAGCAGTTTGTGCTGAGAACTCGAAGAGCAACAAGAACACGAAACCTGGAGAGATCCTCGAGAAATGTGCAGACTGTCTGATGGGTTGTTTTCGAGTTTGTGCCTGCGACAATCGCAGTTCAGAGGACGATACGAAAAGATGGGGCATGCTGGCGCTAGTCAATCAATTATTAAAAATCTATTTTCGTATTAATAAATTGCATCTATGCAGACCTTTGATAAGAGCGATAGAATCGTCTCCTTACAAAGCGCATTTCGCATTAGCGCAACAGATAACGTACAAGTTCTTCGTAGGCCGTAAAGCAATGTTTGACAGCGATTACAAAGCTGGTAAATATGCATTGAAAATGCATTGCGTTTCTCCCAATGAACTTGAAATTTTTCCGTTGTATACATGATATAATTTGCTTTTTCAGCCGACGAACATCTCACGTACGCGTTCGAACATTGCCACAAACAATCGTCGAAGAACAAACGACTGATTTTGACTTATCTCGTACCTGTGAAAATGTTATTAGGATACATGCCTAAGCACGGCGTGTTGGCAAAGTACAACTTGATGGAGTTCGGGGAATTGATGGAGGCTGTGAAGAAGGGAGATCTAAAGAATCTCGAGAAAGTAATGGCGAAACACGAGTCGTTCTTCATCGGAGCAGGGATTTACTTGATCGTAGAGAAATTGAAAATAATAGCTTATAGGAATCTATTTAAGAAAGTGTATCTCGTGTTGAACACCCATCAGATCCCTATCGAATATCTCGCTGCAGTAGTGGAATCGGATGACACCGACGAGGTGAACATCGACGAGGTGGAGTGCATCGTGGCGAATTTAATATACGAAGGGAAAATTAAAGGATACATATCTCACCAGCATAAGAAATTGGTCATCTCCAAACAGAATCCTTTTCCGCGATTATCAACAGTACCCTAATTACTCTCGTGTATTTCGTAATAAAAAAATCTGTTTATTTATAATAAAGCGTTTTAATTGGTACATGCCCTTTGGAAATGATTGAACGTTCATATTTGAATTGGAAGCGTGCGCATAAAGTCTAGTTTGCATGATTATTATCAGTCGGTGAAAAGGAGGTGGAACAGTTCGAAGACGATAATCGAGCGCGGCGTGCGGCAGAGGCTGAAGTGTTTCCGTATTGTTAATTAGTTTGTTTTCATTTATTTACCCGTTTAAATAATTTCACACGGTGAACATAGTTGAGGTAACGTGTCAGCGCGTCCGGCGATAAAAATTTGTCTACAAAATGTTGAATAAAACAGTTAAATAATATGACATACTATCGATTCATAGTCTGATTGGTTGAACCAGTGTTCAATGAAAGTATGGCCGCCCTGCCATCACCCACGCAGGTATATTATAATTTTTATAATTTTATCCTCGTATAACATTCGATGCGCTATGTTTATCGTTAACAAGACCTCCCGACGAATCTCTTCTTCTCCTGTGCAAGAACAATATCGTCCTTTGCCATGCACATCATTGCATCACGTCCGTGCATGTATCGACGATTACTTAAAACTTCTCTGACAGTACGGGTAATCGTTTGATAAATGCACGGTAAATATATTACACGTATCCCGCGCGTCGCTCTATTAGTAGAGAAAAGAAGCCGTAACATAATAGTCGATACCAGCACGATATGAAACGTGTTAATTCGATGTTAAAACGTTCGTTCCTATACGTGGAAATATCAGTTGTGATATACCGCATATTTCCGGCGGTTGAAATTCATATGAATTTTTTGTATGTAAAATCTATATTGCTTGGTAACGCGAAGGAATCCTTAATGTAATACAAATCGGCATAATAAATTTCTATTTACAGGTGGCTGGAAGCCATACTGCTATATATGAAGCCTATTATAATCAGGTATGCTTTTGCGTACGTACTTCGGTGTACCATCGTCTTATCTCTACGGGTTCAAACACGATTAACTTTCCATATGCGAGGAATATGTTACGATTGTAACGAGTAAAAATTTGTTCGAAGGTCGATCCAAATGGATATGGGCGAATCGGTGCGATGGAAGCTGCGAGATTTCTTAAGAAATCCCAGCTGAGCGACATTATATTAGGCAAAATATGGGACATGGCAGATCCTCAGTCACGTGGATCATTAGATAAGTCTGGTCTCTTCGTCGCTCTTAAACTGTGCGCGTTAGCCCAAGCAGGGAGAGAGCCTAGTATGTCAAATTTAAGTTTGGAAGTGCCACCACCGAAAATGGTAAGTTCTCCCATTACTCGATGCCTCGAGTATATTATTCCATGCCTGATTTATTTCCAGGGTGAAATTCCTATAGTACCTCCTAAGAATGTAGTGAATACCTTACCGGTAATAACATCTGTGACTAATGGAGATTGGTCTATCAAGCCTTCGGAAAGAGCTAAATACGACCAACTCTTCGATAGTTTACAACCGTCTAACGGATATATTCCTGGAAACAAAGTAAGGGGTGTCCTTATGGACAGTAAGCTTCCATTAGATACGCTTGGAACGATTTGGGATCTTGCCGATATGGACAAAGACGGTATGCTGGATAGACACGAGTTCGTTGTTGTAAGTAGGCTGGCTTCGTCGGACTCAATCTAATCGTAATGAAGCATTTTCTTTTCCCATTTCTTTAATATAATTTCGTGTTATTTATTTTGCTTATCATGCAGGCTATGCATCTAGTGTATAAAGCTTTAGAGAAATATGCAATACCAAGTGTACTTCCACCAGAGTTAATGCCACCTGGGAAAAGGAAAGATTCTACCGTGACATCGGTATCGAAATCTCCTGTACCAATGAGTGGAATGACAACGGCTCCACCACCCATTCCACCTTTACCTAATGTTCCTTCGGTGAAGAGTATGCCTGGTTTAGATACAGCCAAGGTATTGAAACCATCGCGAAAGCGTAACTTGACAATTCTGTATTTAATACAACGATTGTCGCACAATCTGTATAGACGAACGTGCAGTGGGTAGTTTCGACCCAGGATCAAATAGCCGCGGAGAAACTATTCTTGCAAGCTGATTTGGACATGGATGGATATGTCTCGGGTATTGAAATTAAAGATGTCTTCCTTCAAAGCGGACTTAAACAGACTGTACTAGCTGATATATGGTATCAATTTTCGTTATCGTGAATAATGAATACGAAGGTCTCGAGTCATACGTTAATGGTAATTTATTTCCTAGGAGCCTTTGCGATACGTGCGAAAGTGGAAAGTTGAACAAGGAACAGTTCGCTTTGGCCATGTGGCTCATTAAACAGAAACTTCGAGGCATCGATCCACCTGCTTCTCTGACTCCCGACATGGTACCACCTTCTATGCGAAAACCATCCGAAACGGTCGTGGTGAGTACACTGTTTGTTGTTTAAAAACGTCGTCATGTCATCGTTAATGAATCGTGAAACGTTTGCGACCGAGGAATGCTCGCCAGAATACGATCAGAAATACAACAATTATTAAGATACCGCCGACTATAATTACGCTGTGACTCGTTTGTAGTTCAATTTCGCCTGTTACATTTAATTTTATTACTCCGACTATTTCGTTCTTTTGCCAACAGCTGGAAAGTTAAACAGATCGTTTAATGTTTCAAACAATTTTTATGCAATTATTTACCTATAAATATTTGCATCTTCAAATTTTAACGATTTAAAGATGATGTGCATTTGTGGATTGATATAAATTCTCCCTTCAGATTGTTCTTTGATAACAGACGGATTTAAAATCTTATCGTCAACTTTCCAAGTGATCGGTATATCGGTATTCAAACTCCTGAAAAGTTTAAAGCAACACGTATGTGGTTCTTCAATCTTTTATAAATCATTTTACCCTGGGCAGACGAGGATCGCCTTTTTATCATGTCTCTGATAAATTGTTGTCCGTACAACTGTCGGCGATGGTTCAGGCATTCCTTGAACCATCGAATATACACCGGCGCTATTATTCGCGCTTTCGATTACATTTCCCTTTTTATCTCGTATTTCAAATACAACATTTTCCGGACACTTTATCTGCAGACGATATGTATAAGGAAACCAATGTATTCCAATTTACAGTGTGTCCTACCTTGCAATAACGCATCATCATTTCTGTTTTTCTATTTTTAATATCCCTCAGATTCAAAACTTTTTTCGGCAGGTATTTACTTTTACAAGGAATACTATTCTTGAATAAACGTAGGACCGCTTTAATTCTATCACGAGCACTTTCATCCAGAACTTGACTCTCAGTCGTAGCTTCTGTTTGCTCTTCTTCTTCGGCTAAACGTTATTATAAATCGATATTATTTAAGGATGTATTGGCTATATAAGTTGTTTTCCTTCTAACTTCGATATTTAACGAGTTACGTATGATTATTTGGCATTTTATTGATGTTGACAAAATCCGACCATCCCAGCGTCGAAACAGCGAACTTTTGGAAAAAAATTTCGTTTTTCCTCAATAACTCCTAAACCCTTGGAGATACGGGAAAATTGCATAGGACCTTTCTTGTAGAGGACGACGAGATCTATAATTTCCATGTAAAAATTCTTCGCTGTTGTCAATAGTTTACGAGTTATTGACGAAAAACGAAAAACCAGTTTTTTGCAAATAACTCGTAAACTATTGATGCTAGCAAAAAATTTTTACATGGAAATTGTAGATCTCGTCGTCCTCTACAAGAAAGATCTGATGCAATTTTCCCGTAGATTCAACGGTTTAGGAGTTATTGGCAAAAAACGAAAATTTCGCAAAATCTGAAGGGGTAACACCTTGGAAAAATCTCGGAAAAATCGAAAATTTTTTTTTGTTGTTTATTATTAGCAATGTTCTTCCGACGTCTGATTTCTTTTTAAAAAATGCGTTTCTAAAGTGTATAAACTTTTGGGATTGACTGTATAGCCAATACGTCCTCAATAGTGCGCGATGTAAAACAGAAATCGGCGCACTTTGTCTTTTGGACTCGACGTTCTTCTCCAGGGAGGAAATCGTGCAGTACCCGTACCGAGTCTTTTTACCAACGACGCCACATCTGGAGCACTTAGACCATTTGGTCCACGTCGTGTGAACGTTTAAATTGTATTCCGGTAGAGTCTTTGGTATCGTCGCGTGCGGCATGTTAGGCGCGGTTCTAGGATGTACGATTTTCACTCCATCGAGATCAGTATCAATTGAAACGTGATAAGATACGGATGATAAATCTCCCAATTGACACCAATACTGACCGGCCTGTCCAGACTGTGACGATTTTTTATCAGTCCAAATACACAATACTTGTATTCAAGAATACCTTAATACTATAAATCATTAGTGTTCTATCAGTCGGGGAAATGAACGTATTGTCCGATTCTTCGACAAGTTTACTCGCTTCATTGACAACAGAGCTATTGAAATACCAGTCTATATCGTCGCTCGCGTACGTCTCTAAGGGTGACACACATATTTGGCAGTCCAATCTGGAAATTGACTTTTCAATCATTTTACGAAAGATAGAATACAACGATTTTCATACGTGACTAGGGTTCCTTCTAAAGCTTCGATAGCTATGGGATACATTATCCTTTGAGACCCGATTTCGTTATAAGTTTTCGTCAAACAGTCGTAATAATCCTGCCACGACTCTTCATGTATTTTTCTCAGAGTCTCGTTAGCTCCTGGGTACTCGTATTCGTTGATGTCGAGTAAAAGTTCACTGCCTTGATGATACGAATTCGAGTTTTACTATTATTTATAGAAGTGTTTAAAGGCAATGAGTATCACCTTGCTCTTTGTTCAACACTTTGCTAATCTTTTTACGGAGTTCATTGTACTTCTTCCACAAATTTATTCCCACTGCAGAATCGATAGATATATTCGTTAAATAATAAATATATAAGAGTAACACTAACTGCATGGCGTTCTGTGTGAAGCTTGACACGCGATTCTCAGTTTTTTATCCGAGACTTTACGTTCAGAAAGCTGTGTCGTGGGATCGCAATCCGAATTTGAACGTAACATTCGTTATGTATTCATTCCGTAAGAACAATAACAATTTGGGTTTTGAGAAATGCATAAAAATCGCACCCTTATTGATAAAGCGCGAGTCTCCCACAGCCGCTCTGAAGAGAGAGAAATTAATGAACGTCACACTCGTGAAACAGTTACAAACCGAGGCGAGGAAAGCGAAATTAAAGTCACTGTATGGCACGGACGATGTTGAAAAGATCAAACTTAAAACTCGTCGAGAATATATAGAAGAATTCAGAATGAACATATTGAATGATAACACTTTTGTACCTATAAATTGATTAACGATGATGTTACACCTATAACTGTTCTGCGTAGTGAGAATAAAGAATATCATAATCAGAATTGTTTCGAATCATTTGTAGCGTCTAGAATATATTGAATAAGAATTGTGATCTGTGTAAATGAAGAAATTCGGTTTGATCTTTAGGAGAACAACAACGTGTCCGGTTACTCGAATCCAGAATTGGATATGATAAGCAAAGACATAGCGGAGCTTGTAAGGGAGAGACAAACCATGGAACAGGATATAGCTCAGAAGGAAGCGGACATAAAAATAAAGAGCGGCGAGATAAAGAGTTTACAAAGCGAATTGGACACGCTCGCGGCTACGTTGAAGCAGCTGGAAAATCAGAAGGGCGAGGCGCAAAAGCGATTGAACGATTTGAAGGCTCAGGTACATGAGTTTTTCATTGTATCACACGCGCGTTTAGGTAATCCGCTTGCTGAATGTGCAGCTTTGCTTCTATACGAAGTTAGGAACGCGTGTCTGTGAATTGTATATAATGCTTTCGTTAAGACGTGTAATTAATTAAATGTATTACGATTTTTACAACTCGCAAGTTATATTGTCATAGGTACGTTATTGAACATCTTGTAAACTTTAGCAGAGATCGCATCAGCATGACACGTAGAAATCCGATCGTACAGCGTTTATTTAAATGTTATTTTATTTATCATGAATCCTTTCCCGATTCGTCGAATATACGTCCAGTTATATTATTTTATTTTACTAATAATTTAGTTTTTTTTTTCCTTATCATTTGGTTTTATTATGTTTGGCTTGTAGAAGACAGAAGTAGATAAAGATTTGAGTGATGTCGAGGAGAAGATTCTCGAGGAACAAAAAAAGGTACATCGATAATTTCTACTTTTATCGAAGGGCAGGTACAGATTTTAATCTCATTTCTATAAAATACCAATTACAACTTCTTCATCTATACCTCTCTCTCTACGTCTGTTGAACAAAGTACAATAAAATTTCTGGGAATAGCTTTCTGCGATAATAACTATAAAAACGAGGAAATAAAATCACACGGATTTCATTCCAATCTTTCTGTACGCAGGAAACTCCTGCGCAAATTGCGCGTAATATTTATAACGTTAATATGAATGCCAGTCTGAAAGTACTGATTATTTTTATTATTAAAAAGCTTTGTTTGTTTTTTTCATACATCCGCTAGGTAATGCTTCGCTGCGTCGCATGCTAGAATAGCTGTAGCCTAGATTGCCCTAAAGAACATGCATAGATGAGACTTTGATCTAGTATATAGTTCGTAACACAAATCGCTTAAGAGATTCGAGCCTTAAATTTCTGTGATTGTATTTAAATATACATCGTAGTATCTTCTAAAATTGTTATTAACAACATGTGTTTAACGTATTCAGAAATATGAATGAATGCTATTGTGCAAACATGTTAGTATTACGAATTTCGATGTACAGGTCGACAAATTGCGTCAGCAAGCGGAGGAGCAGGAATCAGTGTTGCGCGCCCAAGAGGATGAGTTGAATTCAAAGAGGCAAGAACTGGAAGGTTTGCGGCAAGAAGAGCAACAGTTGGAGCAGCAACAGAATAAAAGCAGGGACCAATTAAACGAGTTGACGAAGAATTTGCAGGACACTCAGCTGCAAATCTGTCAAGCTAAAGCGAAAATCACGCATCTGCAGGAACAGCAACGGCAGATGAGTGACGCGATCGCGCTTTACGATTCGGCACTCGCGGCAGGAGATGCCTCTCTTGTACCTGATACTAGTCTGCAATTTAATCCCGAGATCGAAGATCCAGAGTACGCAATTTAATATACAAAGACTCCGCGTCGATCATAATGTAATTCTGATTGTGAAAATTCGCGTAGGTACGAAAAGAAAAAAGAGGAAGATAAAAATAAGAAGGAAGTCGTATTCTCTAACACGAACGGAACGACGGTAGATGGTTTCGACCAAGATCCTTTCGCATCCAGCAAAGCTCAAGAAGCATTCAGCGCATCGACGCCGGACCCATTCGGAACCGCGTTCCCATCGCAAAATGCTACCGTGAGAGATTTTCCAAACGAAGTGATCACTACGTCGATCACGTAGTACTACTTAACTTTCCACCGTTTTTACAGGGATTCTCGTCCGATCCATTCAGCGCATTCGATGATAACAACGCTGTAAAACAAGATCCATTCGATCCGTTTGGAGATGGAAAACGAACTGATAATAAGGCTAACGCAGCAGCAGTAAGTTGTCACAGATATACCAGAATTTCGAAGAAGGCCCTCCTTTCGTCTACGTAATATTGTATATAAAATTTTTCAGGCAACGAAAGATCCGTTCGGAGACGATCCG